GCCATGTTACTAAGGAGAAGCAGGAGAAATGAGTCTGCCCCCCCCACCCCGGGTCGGAGTGTATCCCAGGTCCCATCTGACCAGCGTGTATCCGCTCAGGGCCAGCACTCAGCATGCCACCAGCTGCTCCTTGCACCGTGCACCCATGGGCCCTCCCTGACTTCCGGAATCCATACCTCAAACACTGAGATGAGAAAGTATAGGAAAGGTAACAATGCCCTGTATCCGATACATAATCATGAAAGAAGAACTCTGCAGAGCATTCTAAAATAAAGCAGAAAGCAAGACGTCAGAGAGAGTGCAGGCCAAACTAGGAGAGGCCATTTGGCAGGCAACCCCCGCCCCACAGTCTGGTCTCCGTGTCTTTATTTGAGCAGCTTTCTAACACCAGGAACTAATTAAAAACGAAGGGGCAGAGCTTCTGACCCAGCACTTTTCGCAACCTTTACACGTCCCATAATAGGCCTGTGAAAAATCACACTTGCTCAAATGACCATCTCTGACTTCCACGTGAAGACACTGGAGCTTTAAGGAGCTCCCACTTGGAGGAACTTGTTTTTAGGTTAGTGATAAAGGAGTTCACACTCACGAAGCTCGCTGTTCCCGCATCGGAAAGCTGATGGTGTGGAATCCCGGAATCGCCGGCTTCCCCTTACTGACCCAGAGCACAGATGTCTGCCACGTATCCCTGACAGCTGGACTTCAACCATCTCCATGGTAGACGACCGAGTCCAAGAGCCCACGACTTCCTGTGGAGACTACAGAAGTCAGCAGCCCCAGTCCGCCTTTCAGAGCCCAGGAGTGTAGGCAGTGGGAGGGCTCAGCCCTCCTCCACTATCATTTGTTGGTGCCTTACTCATTTTCCAGTCTGACTCATCCTTGGAGGCAAACGGGCTCGGGCTCAGTGTTCATTGCAGGAAGTGCCTGGCCGGCTGTGTGAGGTTCACAGTCTCCAAGCAGCCCACACCTGTCCTGTGGGGCCATCATTTCCCAACAGGTAGCTCCAAGGAGAAGACATTCCCTGTCAAATTAACTCTCGCGCCCAAAGGCGTTTCTCCCGTGCGGGTCTAAGACCAAGTCAGTCTGGCATTGGTCGGAAATGTGGTCGATCCAGCCCTAACCGGTTTGGCTCAGTGGATAGAGCGTCAGCCTGCGGACCCAAGGGTCCCAGGTTCGATTCCGGTCAAGGGCATGTACCTTGGTTGCGGGCACATTCCCAGTGGGGAGTGTGCAGGAGGCAGCTGATCGATGTTTCTAATTCTCTATCCCTCTCCCTTCTTCTCTGTAAAATATCAATAAAATATATTTTAAAAGAAAGAAATGTGGTCGATCCAGAAACCCACAGCCCTTCCACGTGGCTTCTGAAAGCCATCCTGCATTGCCCACTGCGTCTCATCAAGTGGAATCACCACCAAACAGTCCTGAGACTCATGGGAACTAAGTTATTCTCTGTGCTCAATTGGGGGGAACGGGGAGTGAGGGGGAGCAGGGGATAAATCACAGAAGCAGAACGCTCTTTCTGTGGTTTTGAAAAACCATGGACAGATGTCCAGGGACATTCATCAGAATGAAAACTTGGGACAGACTGACTGCTCTCTGTGACCAATGGACACCTCCTTTGAATGGGTTGTGACCTCAGGGGGTGTTGTCCAGACCCTGCCTCTTTGGGGTCAGACAGTGTCCTGTTTTCTCGGGGAGAGCAGGCAGGGTGGAGCTTTTCTCAGAAGAGAAGGCAGAAATCAAAGATTCACACCGGGAGAAGAGAAAGGGAAGCTGGAAGTCGCCTGGAGGGAGTGATTGAAGGTCTGAAGGAAAGAGCCTTCCTCCCGGCCCGCCTGGGCACGGAGCTGGGGCCTAACAGAATCTCCTGTCTCTTGCTGATTTGATGATAAAATATGGAGTGGACCCCCTGGGAGAGCAACCGCCTGGAGAAGTAGATGGATAATTGGCTCTGCTGGCGCGCTCGCTGCTGGGCCTGTGAGCCGCCCGCCAGCATGACTAACGCCTCTCCCTCCGCCTAAATTAGATTCTGATTGTGTTTCAGAGATGTTCACTGAATCGCAGATGTTGGAGGTAAAAAGACCCAAACTTCTGAGGAACACCTCCCGTGGAGCATGTGGGGTTGTCACGGGCACGGCTGGGCCCTCTCAGGCATCAGGCCAGGGGAGCCCCCTCCCTTCCCCGGCCTGGGGAGCCAGCCAGCTGCCCACGGGGGCTCTGAATGGAGTGGGCTCTGGACCAGCCTGTGGGGGCCTGTAAGCAAGTGCCTGGCATCAGTGACTAATTCCTGGTGTAGACCCTGAGTTGGACCCAGAGTGTCCCCTTCTCCGCACATTTGCGTACTCACTGCCAGGGCGGGTGGAGTGGTTCAAGGTCCCCGCCGGTTCACCCCCACAGGCTCCTCAGCCACTGGACTTCTCCAGTCTGCACTGAGCCATCGTAAACGCTTTCTGGTTTCTCTTGCAGAATTTAGCCTACGAAATCATCCTGACGCTGGGACAGGCATTTGAAGTGGCTTACCAGCTCGCACTGCAGGCGAGGAAAGGGGGCCATTCCTCCACGCTCCCAGAAAGCTTTGAAAACAAACCCTCCAAGCCCATCCCCAAGCCCCGCGTCAGCATCCGCAAGTCCGTGGTAAGTAGAAAGGATGCAGATGCTAGGGAAACCTGGACCAGAGGGGGAGGGGCTGCTCCCCGGGTGCCTGCGGGGAGGGGTGCCGGTGACACTCAGGGCCTGTCTTTCTTCACCTTTTCCTTGGCCTCCTCCCGGCACATGTCTGCCATCCTCTCAGCCCAGTTCCTGGAAAGCAGGGGGGACCATCTGCCTGAACCTGCGGGCTCCCGAGAAAACACCACCCCCTCTGTCTCCTCTGGCAGCCAGGAGGGGCTGGGCCCTGCTGCTGTCCTTGTGAATCGTTTCTGAAGGTCCCAGTGTGGGAACAACGTTCCCTGAGCCTCCGGGAGCCATCCCACCCGGGAAGCCTCCTCGAGCCCCTGGCCTGTAGGGAGGTTGGCAGAGGTTCACGGTGAAGGTGACTCTACCCAGAGGAAGCTGGATGCACAGGCCTTGGGCAGTTGGAGCAGAGCTGCACCGACTTTTGAGTTTGGGGTTTTGGGAAGTCTAGATGGCTGGCCCCTGGCCCCTCCTCCTGGTCCTCTGCCTTCCTCCAGGAATCTTCTCCCCTGCCCTCCCAGGAGCTGTGCAGACACCCTGTCTTACAGACTTGCATGCCTTCGGAGCGCCCTCCTCTGGTAGTAGCAACACCCAGAAGCGGAATGCTCCCAACCGGCTTCTGCTTCGTATGGCCCCCTAGAAACGCAGGGCAGGCCTGTCCTTCCATCTGTAACTCCCTCCCCTCCCACCAACCCCTGGCCCCAGGGCCCTGGGGGAGATGCAGGATTTCTAATGTTTGTGGAGAGGCAACTCTCTTTGTGACCTTGTGATAACCTTTGTGACCTTGTGGGTTCTTGTTGGCAATCTTCCTTTTGGCCTCTGCTCCTGTCACCATTCTCGGCAACATCAATGTCCCTGGGGTGGTCCCTGCCCCGGGCCTCTGTGTTCCTTGCCAGCTCACTCTGGGACCTTGCCTCCACCCCACTCAGCCATCACTCCATGCTCAGCCCTCCTCGCTGATCATCACCAGGGACTGGGCGCCTCTGAAAACCTGTCCTTCACGCCCTGCCCCCTGATGCCCTGGTCCTCCCTCCACAGCCCTTCCTCCCCTTCCCGGCCCGGTCCTGACACACTCCCAGAACTCAGAACTCCAAACTCACCGGGTCAGATTTCTTCAGCATTTTACAGACACCTGAAATGGGGTATGTCCAGGGCAGGATGGTTGGTTCTCCCCTCGAGGTTGTTTGTGATCTTTCCCAGCTCAGTAAGCGACACAACCATTCCCCACGGTGCTCCAGCCGTAAACCTAGACGTCACCCTGGACTCCTGGCTTCCCCTCGGCCTGCGTCCAGCCCATGAGCAGCTTCCGTCCACTCAGCCTCTAAAACGTGTCTCAGATCTGCCCACTCCTCTCCTTTCCTGTCACTCTTCTCACCCCGGGAGGGTCCAGCACTGCTCCTCCCTAAAACTACAGGAGTACACCTCCTAGCAGACCCCCGGCCGCCACACGGCACCTAGGGTCTTCTCAGATCATAGATCAGAGCCCGGCAGGTGTGGCTCAGTGGATTGAGCGTCACCCCATTCACCAAGAGGTCACCGGTTGGATTCCTGGTCAGGGCACATGCCTGGGTTGCAAGCAGGCTTGATCCCCAGGGGGCGTGCAGGAGGCAACTGGTCAATGTTCCTCTCTTATCAATGTTCCTATCGCTCCCTCTCCCTTCCTCTCTCTCTAAAATCTTTTTAAAATATTAAAAATAACAAGCCCATAGGTCAGATCATGGCACCACTGCCCAGCTCCCTAAAGCCTGACTTCCCACTGTACTTCTCTCTGACGCTCAGGCCTTTCTGTTCCTGGGAGACAAAGCTCACTCCTACCCAAGGCCTCTGTCCCACCTGGCCTCATGTCCCCCTGATATCCACGTGGCTGACTCTGTCATTCAGATCTCAGTACATGAGGGGGCTTTTTCTGGGCCACGCTCCCTCGTCACACTCAAGCTTATCTTCTGCTCTTAATTCTGTGTAGCATTTATAAATGGAGATTTATTGTCTCTCTTCCCCTACAAAAACTATGAGTTACATATCCAGGAATTTTCAGGATCCTTTTGTGGTTTCTCTTAGACTAGTCTATGCATTCTCGTGTGGGCTGTAGATCAGTTCTGGGCAGGCGCCTCTGGTCCCCATAGACTCAGCCGGAAGAGCACTGAGGGCTGAGCGCTCTGCCGGCTCATGGAATCCATCTGGGAGCTTCACTGAGCAATATGAAAACACACAGTGACAGCACTGATGTGCGTTAAGGGCCTCAAGGCCTCGACCTGCACCTGGTGTCCGTGTTCCATGTCCCTCGGCCCCAGTCGTTTATTGCTGAGAAATAATCCGTGATTCCTGAGAATAGGTGACCCGCTCCCACAGCCTTATGGAGATGCAACCAAATCACGTGGGAAGGTAAGCGATGGACATGGATCTCAACCTCCGCAGGTTTCAAAGCTCACTGTGCAAGAGCAATGGGAGAGGCCTCCCCGCCGCGCCCTTGCTCAGAGTTGCTGAGCAGAGTCGGGGACCAGAGCCAGGGGCAGACAGGGAAATACCCTTTGGTGTTTGGTGAAGAACTCGCCCCAGGCCCTTCTGAGAGCTCATGGCTTTGCATGCACAGGGCTAGGCCAGCTTTAACCGTTCTCCAGCTCAGCCTGACCTGGCCCTGCTCACCTCCCCCTGCAGGTGTCTCCCCTCCTGTCTCCCCCTCTGTGAACTGACTACAAGCCCTAAATGGGCCACGTTCCCTTCCCTTGGGGACTTTGCCCATGCTGTTCCCTCTCCCCTGCCTTGGCCAGGCCAACTCTTGCTTTCCTTCAGCTCTCCATTTAGACGTTATCCCGTTCTTTTCATGTTACCTGTTCAGCAAGTATGTATGATGTGCCTACTGTTAACTGGGTTGCCGGGAGCTTTTCTAGGTAGTGAACAGAACAGACAAAACCCTGTCTTCATGACAAATAAACAGATGCGACAGGATGTGTGTGGCGAAGGATTACACAGAATAGTAAGAGGAGAGCCAGCAAGCTGGGGCGCTGTTTTGGATGGGCCCATGGTGAGGAGGGGATGTTCGAGCAGCCACCTGAATGATGTTAGGACATAAAGCAGGCAGGGGTCTGGAGAGGAGCATCCCTCAGAGCAGACGGAGCAGCCAGAGCGGCAGAGGCCCTGGGCGAGGGCTTAGTGCTGGGGGAGCAGCATGGGGGGGGCGATGTGGCTGGAGCGAAGCAAGGTAGGCAGGCAGGGCCACCTGCAGGTCACCTTGAGGACTTTGGGTTTATTCTGTGATGGAAACCATTGGAGGCTTGAGAATTAGGGAGTGGCATCACCCCCTCCTGGAAGTCCCCCTGACTCCCTGACGTGGGGTCCGTGGCTTTCCTGCGGGTCCACAGAGCACCCTTCCCCCTCCCATCTCACTTCTCAGTGTTGAGTGTTGCCCTGTCCGCTCCCCAACCGTTGCCTTCAAGAACAAGGCCCGCATCTCATTCCCCGTCCCTTCTCCAGTGCCTTGCACACGGTCCATATGCACTAAATGTGGTCGAAAGAGCAAATAAATGATTCTCACAGCCAACAGCCCTGAAGTCCTGCTGGGGTGGTGTTGGCCCCTGAGTAGTGGTAGGTTGCGTGCTCCCACCCCGTACAGGTACCACATAACAGGCATCAGCCTTTCTCTCTCAAAGCAGATCGACCCCTCTGAGCAAAAGACTCTGGCCAACCTGCCGTGGATCGTGGAGCCGGGACAAGAAGCCAAGAGGGGGATTAATACCAAGTATGAGACCACGATTTTCTGATACTCACCGTCCTCCCGCCCTCGTGGTGCCTTGCACGCCGAGCAGCCCGGAGCAGGCTTCCCTTCCCGCCTCCGTTCCCACCCAGCCCAGGAGGGAGACTGCTCTGTTTGTGTGGCCTTGTCACAGGTGAAAGGCCACTGGCCATTCCTGGGGACGTTCTTTCTGCACCAGTGACAGAAAGCGCAGCCGAAACCCTGAGAGGCACGAGCTGAGATTTCCGCGGGCTCCCGACTCCCCTCCCTGTCACCACCCAAGGTATTTCCAATGACTTGGCCCCCACACTTGCTTTGCTGTCGTTGGGGATAAACATCTTTTAAAAAAAAGTGCAGGGGATCTCTAATACTGCCTAAAAGTATAAAAATCTTGCGTTTTTCACTGTCCACAGTTTTAAAGGTAGAATCAGAACAGAACAGCCCCCACAAAGCATCTGTAAAATCATTCTATCACTGAGCATCATTTCACGCAACAAAAACTACCCTCCATAGTGGCCAGGAAACCCTGCCTCCCAATTTCTATATTTGTGGTTTTTTATGTCATCAACTATGTCGGCTAAAGAAAACCTTCACATCTATGAACTGATTCAAAATTTACGAATGATTTAAAGCAGAGAAATTTATTATGCACAGGAAAATGTGTCTTGTATTCAATATTTTTACTAAAAAGATGTTTCATTAATGCATTGATAAGCAAACGAGGTTAGTTGTGAGGGATGTTCCCGGTTTCGTTTCAAGTAACTAAATCTCTACTGCTACGACCAAGAACGTAGGCTGAGCGTGGGAAGGTCCTGGGACTCTCCCCCAGGCAGGAGATTCGGGCAAGCAGACGGGGGTCCCACCCCAAGTGCTGACGCAGCCACAAGCCTGCAGAGATTGTTTTTTTAAATCTTCACAGTGTTTTAAAGAACATGTTAAAATAAAAACCTAGGGCTCCTGCTGTCAAGATTTCTGTCATGGAAAACTTGTTTGAGAAAGGTGTTAATAAAATTCTATTGCAAAAATTTGTTTTCTAGAAAAAATAAATACAAAAAAAAAAGAAGAGATTCCAAAGTAATAAAACTCTTTTCTTGACACAGAAAAATAAATAATGTTTGCTTACTATTTGATTAAATAAAATTTACTTACATTTCATTAAGCTATTTTACTTTTTTTAATGTCTCTGTGGAGTATTTGTATGATAAATACCATAATGTATATTTATGTAGAATCAAATTATATACAGTACCAATATCATTATAGAAAAAAATAACATTTTAATGTATATTGTTCTAACTGATCATATTGTGAATCATTTTGAAGTTCACTATAGAGATATTGATAAATTGTGGGACTGTCTTAATGTTGCTTTTTTTAAAAAAAAAAATTAACCAATATGATTTTAAACCTGAGAATATCAGTTACATTCATCAGTTGGTGAGTTTTGGAAGATAACTACATTTTATTTCAAACTGACACATGTATATGGTTTCAGTTCAGTGTGGAAGAATTTTAATACAATATTAAATTACTTGAACTGAACAGTTCCTTGTACATATTTTGCCTATTCACTGTCGATATGTATGTAGAAAATGGAAAGTAAAATAACACATCTATGGTACCAAAAGGAAACTGTATAGGAGCAAAGTGAATAGTAGCTTTGCCGAAACAGAAACATACGTGTAAATATGCTTGGGCTTCCAGTTATAAATTTTGTAATTTTTGTCATTATTTATATCCTATAAAAAAGCACACAGAATAAAAAGGAGATTGTACAGCCGCCAGCGCCTGGCATTGTTCTGTGAGCACTTCCTGCTTCCATTTAGGAGGGGAACTAGAGGGCCAGCCCTCTCAGCGTGCATAGCCGAAGGGATCTTTACACGGGCACAATAATTGAGGAAATCTGCTCATCTCCAAGTTCAACCCGTCTGAAAAGATACAGTGGCCTTCACAGCTTGAATTTCAGCCAGAAAGCCCCTGTTGTCTTGGTTGAAATATTAAAGTGGGCTGTGAGGAGAAATTGCCAAAACAGAAATTTCTAAAAGAGGAAGTGACCACGAACTGGGTCACTTTTATAGGATCACAGAGATGGCAGGTTGGGTAAAGCACCTGCGTGTTTGTCTTAGCTCAGGCTGCCATCATGAAATACCACAGTCTGATGAGCTTAACCAATACATTTAATTTCTTACAATTCTGAAGGCTGGAAAGTCCAATGTCAAGTCCAAGCCCGCACAGTGGTTTTCATAGAAGGCACTTTCTCTTGGCTTGTAGGCGGTCACCATCATGCTGTTTGCTCACATGACCTCTGTGTGTGTGAGCCCAGGTGGGGAGCAGCAAGCTCGCTGGTGTCTCTTCTTACAAGGGCACTAATCCCATCATGAGAGCCCCACCCTTATGACCCCATCTAACCCTAATTATCTCCCAAAGGCCCATCTTCAAATACTATCACATTGGAGGATTAGGGCTTCGACATGTGAATTTTGAGGGGACACCAACATTCCATAGCAACATTCATCAATCATTTTCCCTAAAATGCATGTGCCAGCTGTGAATTGAGTGGTTAGAGACACACCGGGAAAGATCAATGGTTCACATTCCATACCCTGTGGCTTTCAGATCTCTCCACAGCTGGATCCAAGTCTGTTACTCTGCAAAACACATGCCAAAGCAATCTTGGGGCACTCCCAGCCTGACATGCAGAGGCCCAGGGCTTTGAACCCCAAAGAGCTAAAACCATCCTGCAATGGGGTGGCATTCACAGAGGCAGAAGGGCGGGTTTCCTGAAGGAAGGTTTGGGCTGGAAATTTAGATGGTAATGCTTCAATTGAGCTACTTTGGCCCTTTATCTTTGCTAACCAAAGGTCAGTATTGCTTTTATTCATTATCTCCATGGATCAAATGCTTACTTGCATCAGTTATGGCCCCAGCACAAAGCAGATGGCACACTCCAATTAGGATCATTTAAGAGTTTAATAAATAAAATACTTACATAGGTGTTGGCAGCCTGTAGGGTAACAGAGGGGGTAGAGCAGTGTCCCTGGGCTGGTGATGGGCTGAGAGGGAATGGGAGAGGAGGGGGCTGCATACAGGTTGAGGAATGTGGCCCGGTGCAGGGGCCCTCAGCAAGAGAGCCATGGATTAAAATACTTTGCTCTCAGCCCTGGCCGGTGTGGCTCAGTTGGTTGAGTGTTGTCCTGTGTACTGAAAGGTTACTGATGCAATTCCCTGTCAGGGCACGTGCCTGGGTTGTGGGTTCCATCCCCGGACTGGGTGCGTATGGAAGGCAATCAATGTATGTTTATCACATTGATGTTTCTCTCTCTTTCTCTCTCTAAGCGGGTGAGGATTAATATATATTTATATGGCCCTGACCAATTTGGCTTAGTGGATAGAATGTCGGCCTGTAGACTGAAGGATCCCAGGTTTGATTCCGGCCAAGGGCACATGCCCGGGTTTCGGGCTCAATCCCCAGTTGGGGGCATGCAGGAGGCAGCCAATCAATGATTCTCTCTCTCCCTCTCCCTTCCTCTCTGAAATCAATAAAAATATATATGTATCCTGATCTCACTCTCTACCTTCCATTCTGCATTACCTGAACCCACGGATGCCAGAGGGCGGAGGGCCACTGGTATGGTCTACACAGGGCAGCCTCTAGCCACCAATCAGGACTGGGAACAGGGAGGAGTGGATCTAAGTGGCAAACAGAGAGCGAGCCCCCACGTATCAAAGAAGGGATTTGAGCTAATTTTCTTGAAGGGGAAATCTGACAAGTTGGTAATTGCCATGTCCATGGGCGTGGGGATCCTTGAATGCTATTATTATTCCAAAAAGGACTTCAATTCAATCACTCCATTAATTTTTTTCTCCTTAAATTATATTCTATGACAAATTTGGGTAAATGAACCCTATGAAAATTATTCCTGGTTAGTTCATTAATAAGTCATGGAAGTGATTTTTCTCAAGACACCAGATATTTTGTTGGAATACTTGGGAATATTGCTGGTGCATATCACGTCTGGATGTGATGGGGCGGGAGACAGGCTTAAAGAACACATGGCCAAATCCCCAAAAATCAATACAAATTCACACTTGGACCAAATAACATTTTGTCTAAGCTATTTCTGAAAAGAAATGAAAATTTGATAAGTGGGTGAACCTCCAGAGTTCTTGCTTCTTCACTGAATTGGAATATGATGTCCGTGTTCAGAAGGCTATATGGAATAAAGCCTTTTTTTTAAACATTAAGTTTTTCAGTTCTCTTTTTTTATACAAGCTCTTCACTGAGTATGTTTCTTATGAAAATTAAGCAATCTGACCATTATAACACATTTTTTAAATTAAATATTTATTGTTGAAAGTATTACATATGTCCCCTTTTTCCCCCCATTGACTCCTTCGAGCCTTCCCCTGCTTCCCCCACCCAGGCCTTCACCACCCTATTGTCTGTGTCCATGGGTTATACATATATGCATACAAGGTCTGTGATTTCTTCCTACTACCCTCCCCCGCCTCCCCTCTGAGATTCCGCAGTCTGTTCTATGCTTCTATGTCTCTGGATCTATTTTGTTCATAAGTTTATTTTGTTCATTAGATTCCACATATGAATGAGATCATGTGATACTTGTCTTTCTTTAACTAGCTTATTTCACTTAGCATAATACTCTCCAGGTCCCTCCATGCTGTTTCAAAGTATACACATTTTCTTAAAATAAGATTGGGTAAGCGCCCAGCACAGGCCAGCAGTCGCACTGCACCATGGTGCTCCATCAGGTGCCCTCACCCCTGGACCCCACACCCATTTGCTGCTGTCGGAGCAAACATGTGAACCCAGGCATCGGCCTGCCCCGGTGGCAGAGTCCTGTTTCCACAGAAACCAGCTCCAAACAGGCAGAGGATTTCCTTAGCCCTGTCGAGTAATGACCATCTTGCACACTGTGAGCTTCCCTTGGTGCCCTCAAATCAGAACTTTCTTTTTTTGTTATTGTTAATCCTCACCCGAGGATATTTTCCCATTGATTTTTAGAGAGAGTGGAAGAGCGGGGGGGGAGTGGGGGGGAGACATCAATTGGTTGCCTCCTGCATGTGCCCCGGGATGGAACCTGCAATCCAGGTATGTGCACTTGACCGGGGATCAAACCTGTGTCCCTTCTTTGCTAGGGCCAATGCTCTAGCCACTTAGCAACATAATCCAGGGCAACCAGAACCTGCTTTTGGTGGTGGGATTAATCCTAAGACTTTGGTGCTGACCTGGGGAACACCAGTTCTACGTAACTGTTTCCCGTCTTCATCTCAAGCCAATGTACTCGCTCAAAACTCACTCTGAGCTCAGGGTGGCGCCACTGTCCTTAGAGTTGTGAATGCAGAGCCAATCACCCCACCCAACATACTGCACTCTGTGTGTAACTCCTAACAAATCACAGCTACAAATTACCGCCAAAACAATGTCTGCTTTCCTCTCCAAAACCCCAGAGACCTGTGTAGTAAAAGCTGCACAGGCATTCCAAGAGTAATGACCAGCGATGCAAAGACTTACACATACATCAGACTGAATAAAGATTCTCCAGGGGCGTCACCCAGCTGAAGGTGACAGCTGAGGTTTTGGTTTTGTTTTTTAAAAATATATATTTTTATTTCAGAGAGAGGAAGAGAGAGATAGAAACATCAATGACGACAGAGAATCGTTGATTGGCTGCCTCCTGTATGTCCCACACTGGGATTGAGCCTGCAACCTGGGCACATACTCTGGGAATCGAACTGTGACCTCCTGGTTCATAGGTCGATGCTCAACCACTGAGCCACGCCAGCTGGGCAAGCAGCTGAGGTTGACCCATTGCTTGGCTCAGACGCCTGAGGAGCACACGAGTCGCACGCCAGGCTTCATGAGCACAGCGGAGCTAACATGCACCTTCCAAGTCCTGCCATTTAGGAGGACTCTCAGTGCCACAGTGAGAGTCAGTGGAGATGGGTCGCTCACAGCCAGTCAGCTCTCAGCCTGGGATGAGAGCTGGGCAGAGCAGTCCCGTCAGTGCTCCACTGAGCTGGCCTTGAGTCTGTGGCCTCCATCGAGCACCCCTACAGCTGCTCCTGGGGAGCCTGCCGCCCCCATCTTACTGCCTCTCGTCAATAAGACACCTCTGGAGGGAAGTCAAGACGCCTCCACGTAAGAAGCAACATCAGCTGATTTCTGACATTTGAGAAGCTGATTTCTCGCCACTTCTCAAACCTGCATACTCAGTTTTCCGAGACAAAATAAAAAACAACACAAAAAAACCTAATTTGCTAAGTGATGAATCAGGGGAGACTTGGAAAGAAGGCAGGCACAGGAAATTCAGGAATCCCATTTCAGCAGGCATTTCTGGGGAGTTGATCTGCGGGGAGGGGAGAGGTGGTAAACTCAGACAGCTTCAAGGCCACACAGGTAACAGGAGTGGAGGGAGGGCTATGATGACCCACAGAGCAACTGCCTCATCTTGGGGGTGAGGGGGATGGCTACTCAGTTCCTGCTGATTCTTGCCAGCCATGGTGGCTCAGTGGTTGAGCATCAACCTATGAACCAGGAGTTCGCAGTTCAGTTCCCGGTCAGGGCACATACCCAGGTTTTGGCCTCGATCCCAAGTAGGAGGCGTGCAGAAGGCAGCCAAATAATGATTCTCTCTCTTCATTGGTGTTTCTATCTCGCTCTCTCCCTCTCCCTTCCTCTCTGAAATCAATAAAAAACATTAAAAATTTTTTTAAATGTGTGAAAGTGTCCAGTACAGGGCCTGACACATAAAAGGCCTA